ACCGCGATAGTTTGCGGATGAAAACTGTATGGTTTAGATTTTATATATAGCTTTTAGATTTTGTCTATTTAGTTTCATTGCGTTTTATTTAGTGGCAGTGTTGCCTTAGGATCATTGACATACTATTGCAGTTTTTGATAATATATAGTTTTTAGTTTTAGTTATTTAGTTATCAAATTTTATTTAGAAATTTTATTTATTATTCAAATATTTTGTAATTTCAGTTAATGTTTATTTTATTTCAAGTAATAAGTCATACTCTTCCATCTTTATTTGACCCTCTAACTCTAGCACTCTCTATTCTAATTCTATTCTTTAACAAAAAAACGTGTCCCTTTTAGACTTGCACTCTATTCATTTACTGTTTGTTAGTAACTAACAAACTAACTTGCATATCATTGCTCTTTTGTTGATTTTGATTGCTTCCATTGTCCTCATTTGTAAGTCACTTTGGATAAAAGCGTCTGCTAAATGACTAAATGTAAATGCAATGTCATTTTAAGTAATGACTTTTTCATTGTTTTATTTTTAGCGAACATTATAATGTTGAATGAATAAAAAATATTTGAGATTCTGCACTGTTATAAGTAGATTTGTGACATTAATCATGTGGCTCTTTTCACAGACAGTCAGATGAGCTTCCACTGAAGTTTAAGATGCTCTTTGCATCATCTCAAATCATGCTGGAGAACATGATCATCAGGTTTGACAAACTTAAGAAGTTCATGCAGCTCAACTTCTGATAATATAATGAATAAGATAATACAATGTAGAATCAAAAAAGGCCTCTAACACTAGCTTGATCTATTCTTTTTCTATTCTATCTGGTTTCTTATTTATTATATAATAATAAAAAAAAAAACTTTGCTAAGTGTACTGCGTTAAGCTAACTGAGACTTGTTATAGCACTTGCATATCATTGCTCTTTTGTTGATTTTGATTGCTTCCATTGTCCTCATTTGTAAGTCACTTTGGATAAAAGCGTCTGCTAAATGACAATGTAAATGCAATGTCATTTTAAGTAATGACTTTTTCATTGTTTTAGTTTTAGCGAACATTATAATGTTGAATGAATAAAAAATATTTGAGATTCTGCACTGTTATAAGTAGATTTGTGACATTAATCATGTGGCTCTTTTCACAGACAGTCAGATGAGCTTCCACTGAAGTTTAAGATGCTCTTTGCATCATCTCAAATCATGCTGGAGAACATGATCATCAGGTTTGACACAAACATGTGAAGCTCATGATGCTTGAGTGCTGCTGTCAATATAGCAAAAGAGTGACAAGCCAAACTCTGAAAAAAAGTGAAATATCTACATGTTAATTTTCACTCAAATTATTATGACAATACATAAGAAACAAAAATATAACTAAAATTAAAATAGATACAAATAAAAAAAATGAAAATCAAGAAGAATTTTTACTAGTGGTCCCAGACGTTTGGATCTCTACTGTAGACCAGGTTGAGCTCACATAAACCTGTCACTTTAATTTCTGTTACATTATATAACTGTGTGAGCATAGTCCATCTTAATTATTTTGAAGGCTTGATTCCATTCCGTCTCATATGGATCAGAAATTAAAGCATTGGGATTGGACTAGAGAGAGAGGTGATGTCATTCAGACTAATGTATAGAATACAAATGATGATACAAGACATTAATTTGTGCCCTGTATGAGTACAACTTTTAAATATAGATCCTGCTAGCTTTATCAGCATTATATATTAGTATTATTATCTGAAAAAGTGTTGTGTTGTCTTTGCGTTACACAATTAAGAAATAATATCCTAATAATATCAAATATTTTCCTCTATAATCTATGCTCAACTATATTTGGTATATCGCAGTCTCCTCCTCATAATCGTAGCAGCAAACTGCAGCAGCAGAGACGTTTTATGCTTCGTCACGTAATCCGAGATGCTGTGGAAGTGACATCATATTGCAGCAGTGGTCGGGTGGCGGCAATATTCTCAATCTTTATTGATTATAACATTAATAATATAAGATTTCAGGCTTGTGTTTGTGTTGCAAGCAGAGGCTAAGCCCTGAAAAATGTGCATGTCTTGACAGTAAATCAGCTCTTTGTCCAAAACAACAAGGACAATGTCACGTCTCTCTTGAGGGGTGTATTTGTTGTGCTGTGCGTGCGCATGTTGGGAAGGAGGAGCGACTTTCACAGACACATTGCTGTGGGCTCAGAGGTTCTGGGAAAGAAACAGAGCTTACGCTTGTTCTATGGGCCATTGCCAAAGAACTAGAGATGCCAGGGCCTTTCAGAGGCCGAAGTGGGTTTTTCCACTGTTAACATGCAGGAAGCGTCTCAGTAGAAAGGATGTTTCTCGATCTGTAATGCTTACTAGCACTCAGTGATGCCAATAAACAGCCAGTACACTGACTGAGGATCAGAAGCATTTTTACTTGCCATGATTTTATAGAGCTGGACCTTTAGCTGCACTGTCAGAGGAGACTAAGTGTATGGATCCCAGAACAGAACAGAACAGGAGCCAGCGCTGAAAGCATCAATCGAGGATCAGACATCTGTCTAAAAATAAGATAAAATTAAGTACAAGTTTGTGGAAAAAGCATTTGTTCACAGAGGTCTTAAAGGGACAGTTCACCTAAGATTCTTCCATTATTAACATAATTTGTTCGTTCCAAATCTCTATAAATTGCTTCCTTCTGTAGAACACAAAAGAAAATAGTTTTGAAGAAATACCGGTATTTTATGTACATGTTGTTTTGGACCCCAAAGACTTTCACTGTATGGAAAAAAATGTCTTCTTTTGTGTTCCACAGTAAATGTCATACAGGTTTGGAATGACATTAGGGTAATAAACGTTGACAGATTTTTTTTCCTTTTTGGGTGAATTATTATTTGAGCTACATTACTTAATAAACTTTTCTTTTTCTTTTTCTGACAGGCGCAAAGACAAAGGAAGGTGTTGTGACAAGTGTAAACACAGGTAAAAGAATGAATAGAAACAGGTCTTAACTAAACAACACTCAATATGTCATTTTCATAAATACCCTAATCTACGGAAAGTCTCAAATCAAAATATTAGGACACATTTTCATCTGTCCTAGCTGCCCAGAAAACGACTGAGCAGGCCAATCTTGTGAGCGACACCGCTGTGGCTGGAGCCAATCAGGTGTCAGAAAAGGCAGTGGAGGGGCTGGGGAGTGTGGTTGCATCCACTGGCCTTGTCAAACCGGTAAGGATTCCATTTGCATGAGGTCAATTATGTTTTTAAAAAGTATATGTACAATTCAAAACACTGAAGTCAGTTGCATTGGTGCCTTTAGGTGCACAGTATTATTATTTGGTCATATATTTCAGTACAACCGCAAATTGCTTAATACAATGTAAATTGCTTAATGCACTGTTCAGTCATAAAGTTGGTCTATTTTGTATGATGCCCGTGCTTTTCTTTCTTAACCAATCATGGACAGGATGAGTTGGAGAACACTGAGGTGCCTTTAGAAACTCAATAAATTCATGTATGCAATAAAAGCATGCTGAATGGTCACATTTACCTCAAAGCCATTACAGACTAAAATCTCTACATTTGAATATATCAGATTATCTATTCTATATCTATAGATCTATTTCCATACTTTCATACACTCAGTTAAGGAGCAGCTAAGCCCTGCAGTTAAAATGTCTTCTCTGCACTTGACTCACTGCTCAGCAAGAGTGATGTTCTTCATAAATAACTAATTTCTGCTTTCTAAATATTGCTCTGCATTTTTAAAACGCATCCTAGTTCCTTTCATTCGAGTTCCAAAATTGTTTTTATTCATTTAAAATCTCATTAAGAAACAAGCCATAACCATGCGACCATTATCAGTCGATGTGCAGCAACAAAATAACTCATGAACAGGAGTCTGAAATCTTCCAGAGAGCAATAACAAAAAAACATGTATATTTCATCATTTAAAAATTACAGTAGTGTTTTTTTCTGTTGTGTAAATACCTGAAGAGGTGAAAACATGACAAACAGCGATAAAGAACCGTCCATTTCTGAGATGTGTTGATGTGTTTCTGCCTCCAGGGGGAGATGGCGAAGCAGGAGGGAGCTGTAGAGCAGCCTACAGACGCTGGACAGTAGAGAGAAGATGGTGAGCTTTTCTTGAGATGGAATTTACAGCAAAATAGCAAAACCTTTAAAAAAAAAAAGTAGTGTAAAATGACACTTGTTTTCAAGGAATGTATTAGTCTAGTTAACGTCGGGTAACAAAATTTAAGTTATAGTAGGCCTAGGCCTATTCTCTGAAAGTAGTTCACAATTTTTCTTCTCAGGTAAATTTATGCAGATTAAGTACTAGTAAGAGATGTCTGACTCAGTACATGTGATTATTACTGAAAATGCACAGCTTTTTAAATCAAATCATTTATTGGCGACTTTCTTTAAACACTGAAGAAAATTCAATAATTATTTAATTATCTTTGACTGAACTCTTTCAGGGAAGTCATTTGACAGTAAGATCTCAGTGTCCTGTGACATTCAGTAGTTCATGTTGTTTAGTCTTACCAGACAGGTTTTATGTCTACAGCCCATTACAACACACCACATGTGCTTCAAAACAGTGCACAAACGGCTTTGTAAAAAACATACCTCAGTGTTTCATGTGTAGCAAGTTTGCCAGTTGTTTCAAAAATTATATTTTACAAATTCTGAAGAATCATCTGCACCGTATGTGCACTGAACCAACATAACCGTCCTTCTGTTTCGTTTCAGGGTGATGTCGCACTGAACACCCCTGTGATGCTCTGCTTCTTGCTTAAGAAGAGAGTTCATTAGCTGTTGCGGGCCATGGCTGAATATTATCATACTAAACCTCTGATGGACGCTAAATAATATCCAACTTAACACAAAAAACAAAGACACCCACCTCTCTCTCTTGCTTTGTCCTCACAAACAACCTCTTCTTGCTTCAATTTACCACTTTTCTTCAAGTAAACCTATCCTATTTACAAGAAAAAAAGCTCATGTAACAACACAATTATTTAGCTATGCAATATTCACATATACTGTGTAGTGCGTGTCATCACATTTGTGTAAATATTACATGCATGTGCTTGTGATTGGACATTTTTATATAGGCGATGTCTGTCTTTCTTACCTGCCCTAATACCAGTTTTCCTCCACCAAACGCAATGAGGTCAGCTAGATGATTTGTCACACAATCAGTGCGAGAAAAGTTTTAAAACATTCCAGTCCAAACACACAGTCAGTGTAGTATCTGAGACAGTTTTTGAAACAAGGAGCAGAAAAAGACAGAATCACAGATAGGCAAATCCAAAAAAGAGGGCAACTGAGGTCTGTAAAGCATGAAGATGCCTGGGCAAATCTGTTTCAGTATTATCTTAAAGTGTGGCTATAGAGTGATGGGCTTTTAGTAATGCTCTTATATGTAGTTTGCTATAGCAGCCATTATAAACAACTCACAAAATCTGCGAATGATGTCAGAGCAGTTGCTTGGTTACATGATATGTTTGTGGAAGCCATGCATGCTGCCTTACGACTACACTTTAACTGATCCTATTCATGTACTTGACTCATTGTTCCCCATGAAGTCTAAAAACAGCAACAAAAAAATAATAATATACCATCTGTAATAAATTCAGTTTTGTGAAAAATAAATGTTCTCATTTTTTATCCTTATTTTTAGAACAGAATATTGCTAAGAAAGCTAACAAGATTAATTTGCACAATATTTGAAGTATAAAGTAGCAAGTAAGTAACATTGCAAAGTATTTGTGTGCTAAATTGTGTTTACGTCAATAACAGTGTACATCCTATACGAAAGAGGCAGGGCAAGCACTCCCTTTAAATATTCAGTGAAACTATGAAAACTAATTTAAGAACATTGAAAGCATCAAGACACACACCCTTGAGATCAGAACACACCTCCTGCTCTTCCCCTCCCTGTTCCCGGCACACCAGCACATCCAATTAAATATGCATCTCATCAACAAAGACCTGAAATCCCAACTGGCCATTACAATACCATTGAAAAGCACTATGCCTCTGGCAGAATGTCAACGTTTATGAAGTTTTCATGGTCTGTGAAATTCGTGTTTGAAATGACAGTCATTCAGCTTTTTCCACATTCCAGCAATGGGAGGAGGCAGAGAAGTCTTTCAGCCCATCATTTTCCTCTTGCTCAGAGGAAAGTCATTTACACCATGACATAAACAATGAAACTGATGTTAGAAATGTCCATAACAAAATTAGAACAAGAACCAAAACCCTGAATATCCCTGAAACTCTTGACTTCCCCTGAACAAAACAAATCAATAAAATAATCAAAATTAGGACAAGAATCAAAAGGACTATCAACCCTGTATAACCCCAAACTATCTCACCTTCCCCTAAATTAAAAAATAGGACATGAATCAAAAATACTACAAGAATCAAAAGGACTATTAACCCTGTATACTGTATACATAAAATAAAATAGCATAACTATATGCTCTTATTTAACAAATCATGAGTTATGCTGAAACCCTGACTGATGATGATACAGGCAAGCAGGTAAACCAGTCTAGCAAGCTTGCTGTTCTCTCTGTTGACATCTTTGTTCTCCACCCAAGCTGAAGTAGCCAATAGGCACACACATCCCTGACGTACTTTGATGGAGCACCAGCCTAATAAAAGCACATGAATCTTCGGTCTCAAAACACTGACACATACACACGCTCTTGCAAACATCAACAGCCGAGGACTCTACAAACATGTCTTTCTTTAAAGGAGTTTTGGGTAATAAAGCAGCGGAGTCATTTGTCGACCAGGCTGTGGACAAAGCAGGTGAGTCTTTAATGCGTGAGAAACTTTAAAGAAACTTTAAAGCAATTGTTGTGTGCAAGGTTTTTGTACTTTTAATGCTGAGACACTCTGTGTCCTCGTTTAGCCAGCCAGTTATTAAGTATTATAATAAATCAATTATGATCATACTTATAAGCTATTTTTAAGTTGTATATACATTTTTAGGGGACAAATATATAAATTAGATTTTTTTGTCCAAGATTTAATTTTTTTAAGCTTATTATGTATTTTAAATATTGGATATACAATCATAACTTTTAGCTAGTTTAAAAAAAAAAAAAGCCAGAAGACAACAACTTATAATTTATTTCTAATCTTTTTATTTTCAGAAACTCTTTAACTAAATATGTAATAGTTAACACAAAAATGTAATGATACCATGACTCATTTAACTGAATTCAATTATTAACATTTACTTTAGATCAATTATTCCATAAAATCTGGACTGGCCAAGTTGTTTCCATCCCTTTCAAATTGCTTTTTTAATTGTTTTTAAGTTTTACTTGTTTTAGTCCTACTGCTGTTTGTTCTCTATGAAAGAGCTAGATTACATTTTTTTTTTTTTAAATGCAGTTAGTTCAGTAGTCATGCCACTCCTTATAAGGAATGGCGTTAGAATGGGCCTTCAGAGCCAGTAAGCTATCCAAGAGTCTTTTTATTTTTAGACATCTAAGAAACATTATTTTGAGGCAAATCTGATGGGAAAGAGGACCTGTAGCGTGTGCCATGTGTTACCTTTCTATAATGTTGCTGCTCAAATTTTCATAGCTTCTGCAGCTAAAAGAAAAGTGAAGGAAACACTTACTGGAAAGAAACAGGAACCTGATAAGACCGGTGGCATGGGAGGTCTTTTCCCAAGTAGCGGGGAGAAGGACAAGAAACCACAGGAAAAGTCAGGAGGAGGACTATTTGGTGGCCTCCTTAAAGCAGAGGGACCAGGGGAAAACAGCGGCGGAGGAGCCTTTGGTGCTGGAGGCAGCAATGCAGCAGACAACAGTGGTGCAGACAGCAGTGAGTAATAAACAAATACATACACACACACACAAAAGTCAAAACCTGATGGGTCTAGCAATAATGTAAATCCACCATGCACAATATAATAATTCATTCATATTTTGCGTTTGATTAGGTTTCAACGATGCACTGGATGACCTTGCTAATGAGTTCTCTGAGAAATAATGTTCGGACAACTAGGAAAAATCTCTTTGGCTGAGTTCTTCAGCTGGAGACCTCTCTTACATCAGCACCAAGTGTCATGGACTAAAACAATATTAGAGGATATTCATTTGTTACCAATGTAAATAGTTTTAAATAGATGTCTCTTTAATATCTTATGTACAACTACTAAAAAAAGACTAGAAATTACATTCGTATTAGTTTATTTTCTTATTAAATACGTTTATTTAGCATGCTTTTGTTTTCAAAACTGTGATTGAATACATGTTGAGTGAATAAAGCTAAATAAAAAAATAAGTTATTACTGAATGAAAAAGGTCTCGTTTTATCCACGTACAGTACATGAGCATGGAGTATAATTTTATTGTTTGTTTTTTTTAAATCACATTGTTTTTTCCTTACTTTTTTTTTTTGATCAATATTTTAAAACATTTCAAAGAACAAATATAAATAACCCAGTAAATCAGCTGACACACTGCACATTTTCATGTACATTTTATTAATTTTAGACAATTTAAAAAGGCAATACAAAGTCTTTTTAAAGGCGGTTTCATATTAAATGCTAATATAATGAAAATAAACATTTGCTCCCAAATACACGCCCTAACATTTGCCAATTATTAAGAAATTAAACACTGACCAGTAAGGACAAGGACACATTTAAAAACGAAGGAAGCTTTGGGTTATCACTGAAAACTGTTCCAAGGAGCAGCAAAACCAACATTTTGGTAACGGATATAAAAAAGCCTGAGATTGATCCTGCATCCCTTTCCCACTTGACCATTAATTGTGTCAAAATGGGTGGGGAAAAAAGTAACCATCTAGAAATTCTAGAAACTGGTTTTAGAAACAACAGTGTGCGGCTGTGACTCTAAGGCTTAATGTGTTTCCAATATGCAGCGACTTCAATAACACATGACCTGAAGAAAACATTACAACATAGCTGTAATATTGATCGGTGTTTCCTGTCGAGACATTCCCGCTATGCTCTGAAACATGGCAAGGAGAGTGCATTAAAGGGACTTTGGCATTAAAGCTTTTCTAAAAGCCATGGGTATTTAAAAAAGGATGAAAAACTAGAAAAGACCAGAGGATTCTAAAGATACGTATTGGTAAACACATGCATAAATGATATAACATATATATTTGGATGTATAAAATGTAAACATGAGGAGCTGAGGGGTTAAGTGATATACCTCAGGTCTGCGCAGATAAACAGACTCCGATATAGAGTCAGGTGAATAATACAACCGTCTATGTGAAGGTAAGACCAGCCTCATGGTACACTTTGAAGACTTTCTCAATGGCGTTGACGTAGGCCGCTGTCCTCAGGTCTAGCCCAAGGTTATACCTGTTGGCTGTGCGCATGATTTGCTAAAAGAGAAGAGATGAATTATGTGAACAAATGAAGCCTTCCTGAAACAGTATTTTACATGACAGGGGCTCTTCATAAATCAAACTAGCTTAAACACATAGTACGCTGCCTCCTGAGACAGCATTTTGATCCATCATACTCGTACTACTTAAAGTGAATGTTGCTGTAAAATGAATCGTAATTATGCTGCCTCCAAAAATACCTAATTTTGGTCAAAATCTAGTGCAGCATTGCATGTGTCCTTTGCGGAGAAGCCAATATAGGCAATATACACTATGATGACTAACGATCAAAACGATTTTTAGAAGAAGTATCTTATGCTTATCAAGGCTGCATTTATTTGATCAAAAATACTGGAAAAATATTATGATGTAAAATAATTTATTCCTGTGATGCAAAGCTGAATTTTCAGCATCATTACTCCAGTCTTCAATGTCACATGATCCTTCAGAAATCATTCTAATATGCTGATTTATTATCAGTGCTGTTCTGCTGCTTAATATTTTTTTTGGAACCTGTGATACTTTTTTTCAGGATTCTTTGATGAATAAAAAGGTAAAAAGAAGAGCATTTATTTAAAATAGAAATCTTTTCTAACAATATACACAACAGTTCAAAAGTTTGAGGTCAGTCAATTTTTATTCTTTCTTTTTTTTTTTTTTAAATTTAAACTTTTATTCAGCAAGGATGTGTTAAATTGTTAAGAAGTGATAGCAAAGATTTATATTGTTAGA